AGCAATTAGTTTGAGGTGAATTATTAAATAAATTTTTATTGGCTACAAAAATCACGAATAAACTAAGATCATTTCATTTGAATTTCATTTTTTAAAAAGCTGTCAAAAGATTGGAAGAAGAAATGAGTTGAGAAATTTTGAAATTAACTACGGAAATACATCGCAGTGCATTCTCCAAAGTCGTCTCAATGCAAAACAAAAAAAGAAAAAAAATTTCGACCTGATCGTAATGTATGGCAAGTTTGTGCTAGTTACGGAAAAAATTGCGTAACCAACACATTTTTGATTTTTTTTTAGGTCAAATAAATCATTTTTTAATCAATGTCCTGAATCTGATACATTCATCACTCTTTCGATCAATTGATCCTTTTTATCCCTTTCTCCCTTCCACTTTTTTCTTTCCACCAAATTTTTATTCTTCAAATGGGATAAAAAAGATAAGGTTGATAGTGACAATTGAACATGTTTTAAACATAAATGTAAATTTTATGCAATACAGAATTACACCACCTGTCATTTATTATAATTTTTTTCCAACTTTTCAACTATGACAAACATGTAATTTATACAGAAATAAGATATCGTTCCAGGTAAAAAAGTAAATATCATTTTGAAAGAAAGAGTAAATGCATATTTTGGAATGAAATTTTAGCATAGTAATGATAGAATTCCAATACACGGTTGAATATTGAGATGATTTTTTCGATGAACTATAACAGACAGGGAAAAATTAGGTAAATAATATGGTAAGAATGTGAGATGTGAACGAAGCTAAAAGAATAAAATATGAGGAGAGGAAGAGTAATTATAAGAAGAAAAGAGAGGCTTCTTTTTTCGTTATACATAAAAATATCAAAATTATCACTACATGTAGTAAATATCAAGTTATGACTAATGTTGTAGATATAGAATTAGAAATTGCACTGATTGAATGTATCAGAAAATCAAAATTTAGAAATTTTACTATTTGGATGTTAATTAATCCTTTTTTTTGAAACTAAGTAGAACATAGCTCGAGACAATATTATCAGATATTATTACAATCATTGCTTTTACTATTTCTAACACATTATCGTTTATGTTGGCGCTACATTTACCATTTTTTAATGAAAAATGTCGGAGAATATGCGAATGATTTTTGATTGGGTTATTTTTAAATTACCGTTAGCAGTTAATAACAAAATACGCAAATAGCACGAAATTGCATATCAATTTCAGAAGATTTGACTACAGATGCTCTTTGATGAAAATACAGATTGCAACAAATTTGCATTTTTGCTTCAGAATATTTATGGTTATATAAGTATGTGGATTTGAAATAATTATTCATTATATCTTCTTATCACTCGGGTTTTGTGGTCTCGTGTGCAAGTACTAACTGATCGATTGATTGATTGCGGAAAGTTATAGTATATAATGGATAATCCACCGGCCCAAGAAGATACTTGGGCATTTGGCCCGATTGGATCACCGTTTCCAGATAATCCGTTTCATGCATTGGATCAGCCCAATCAGTATGTTGCACTGTGGTACAAGCACGGAAAACCAATTCATGGCCGTGCATGGAACAATGGAGGAGTTCTGGAATGCTCATTCCCGTATAAGAAAGCTGAACTAACTGGAGCTAAGGATTTAGGAGGCCAAATTCAAGTTTGTTTCTAAAATTGAAATTATTATAAACCAATGCTCATATGTATTTTTAGGCAAGAAATATCGTAATACTGAAAATATTTTTTAATCAATTTTTTTTGTTAAAATTTTGTTACAATTTTTTACATTCTTTTACAGCTAATATGCAATAGTGATAGATAATAAATTTCAAGTTTGTTTTCCACATATTATTTAGACAAATTGGCTAAGAATGAAATTTGAATTCTTTTTTAAACCTATTTTTTCATGCTGTTCAATATTTTTAAATAATTTCTATGACATCAAAAATTTTTTGAAACTTCTTTGAATTTTCTTTATCAGTTTCTTTAGTGCTTTTTAGCTGATTACATAGAAATTTTAAAAATGAATTATGCCTAAATCCATTCAATTTTCAAAGCTTTCTTTCTGATTTTACACCTAAAACTCTAAGAACAAATTGGTTCAAATGTCCACCTTCATATATTATATTATGAGTAATAAATTTTTTTAAATGATCCAGTAATGACCTTTCCTATGATTTCCTAATATTTTAAGCATTATATCGTATTTAATGAAGCAAAAACTTCGATAGCATAGATGAAAAATAGAGAGTTTAGATATTGCAATACAAAGGTGATCACAATTCACTTGGTTTCTGGTATGAATGGATTAAATACAAAGATCGTTTCGAGAAAACTGAAGAACGGCAAAAGTTAAAATGTGGCGATTCGTTGCCAATTTTCTGGAAAAATCGTAAAGATGGTCCACTTATGGGTTATTTAGATGCAACCGAAGTGGTTAGTACTGGAAAGATGAATAGATCGAATTAAACGATTATTTCTTTGTTGGCAATGGGAAATTTACATTATAAAATCATTCATCGTTTTTCAAAAAATTGCATCACTCAGAAATTTTCAAAATAAGATTCTTCCATTATCATTATGATTAAATAATAAATGACAGGTTACATTGCTTACCGTGAATTTTTATCCTAATTTTGCATCTTAAATAACAATATCTCAAATAAGTCGCTATATAGTGGGTGATATCTCAGATGAATGTGGAAAGTTTGTATCAAAATATCATAGAATGAATTATGGTAGAAGAAGTAAATTATTTCTAAATTAAATTCAGAATGATTAATTGTGAATTTAGCATATGTTAATGTTGACAAGTTACTACTTGAAAGTGATCTTTTTTTGATTTTAGAAATAAAACATATGAAAATTTCCAATTGTTAGGCACATTTCTCGCACGATGGTAAAGCAGAAATGTTACAAGGAACTGTACTTGATGATATGTATATTATTGTACGTAATATCAAAGGTGGACCACCTGGTTGTGAGTGCAAAAAATGCTATATACCGCCACCACCACCACCAAAACCAGAGGAGCCACCACCGCCACCACCACCTGGGCCACCACCACCAAGAATTATGCGTGATGAATGGATGGATATACGTATGGGTGACCCATGGCCAACACGTAAATTAGTACAAGCACTTGGAAAAACATTGGATACAATGCCAAAAGAAGACCCAAATCAGTATGTGGCGTTGTGGTACCAACAAGGTGAACCAATTATGGGTAGAGTATGGAAAGATAGCAATGGAAAGGTGTATTTTTTCTTTACATTAAGAGAGAAGTTTGATAAGAAATGCAATATTTTCGGGAAATCATAAGAAATTTGCTGAGATCTGTCAGTATGAAATTGAAACTACGCTTATTTCAAAATACATTAGCATATAGCTCTGCGTTTGCAAACAGTACAGTAATTTAACTGTAAAGGAAAAAAAAACAGAAAGTAGAGGAGTAAAAAAATAAAACATGTCAGTATAGTTTAATAAACATTTCTGTGGCCTCAGTGGGATATCTGGCCCATTTTTATTATATATATGTACCTCTGTTAAAAGATTATCAAATTCAGAAAATTGAATTTCAAATATAAATTCGAACCCGATTTAAAAATGGATTCCATTTCGAGTCTTTCACATTATCATTGCAGCTTTTTTCTAACTTTGATTTTTTTTAATTATTTAAAATAACAGGTTTGAATTTTAGTCTAAATGTTTTTCTTCAATAGATAAAAAACTAAAATTATACTACAGGTAGCAGCAGCATTTGGCTGGAATGGGCACGAATATCGCGATAAAATTGGTTCGTTGCAAGTACTAATCGAACTTGGACATCAAGTACGTGGTTACGATTACTCTTGGCAACCATTCTCAGTGTGCGGTACATTTGGTGAAAAGGAATGGCTTCCGGTTTATGTCGATTATAAGGGGATCATTTCACCGTGTGTCATCACATGGGAGGGAAAACAAGTCCTTGGAAAGGTGAAATTTGAAATTTATTGAATAATTTTCATTAAGCAATTGACTGAACGTTGTAGCATCGATTGAGAGATAACGAAAAATTTATTGAATTCTGTAGATGCAAATTTTGGGGATCAGAACATATCGGATCAATCCACATGTTTAAGAATAAGAAAAGAAATTTTCAAAAGGTTTTCCTTTTGAAAATTTGTTTTCTTATTCTTAGAGGAGATTTAATATGAGATCCATCCATTTGAATTTTAAAAAAGTCTTCAGAAATATATTTGTTCATAAGCAATAAAGTGAAATGGGCCCACCAACAGGAAAAAATGTAGGACGAGAGGAAAAGAGATGAGTGTAATATTGATGATTTGAAACAGTTAAATGAATTTGAATGGAAGGAAATGAATCCTACAACTAAATCATTTATTTATCCAAGTGACCTTTATGAATACTAGTGTTACAATGTAAACTTTTCATCGAATAATTAATAATTAGATCGGTTCAATTTTACTAATACTTTAATATGTTTTGAATCGATGTCTGGATGATAACAAGCAGAAGTTTTATATATATATATTTCATTCTTATTCATCATCATATATGCAAAATACATCTAACACCGACAACTTATGAGTCAGTGATTTCAAGTCATCAGCATAATTAAAGGTTGACATTCGAAACGAAAAAGCAAGCGCGGCATTTGCGGGCAAAGAAAATATCTTACTTGGTCCAATGGTGCAAAAACAGCTGGTGTTATGTCGTAAAGCAAGACCGGGATATAATTTCGAATAATTTTAATCCCACTGAATGCAGAATTTATAATGTTCATGGAATAATGATATATGGATGAAATAAATTCTGATTATACACCTTAATTTAAAGTAGACAAAAAATTATTCAATAGATTTTATAATACCTGGACTGTTATAATAATATGAAAACAGGTTCCAGCATGAATCAAAGAGCTATAATAAATATTTCCAGAGGCCTGCTCATTCCTTTCTCGCCTTTTTCATCATTCGTTATTGAATTTATCCATTATTCTGCCCCAATTTATGTCCAAACTAAGATTTCGCATTTATTCATCATCTGTTTCTTTAACTTACATCTAATCCAAGCAGTCCTCGTCTGGCTACTTTTTTGCCAGTAATTCGTGAAGCATTCATTAGCACGTCCCTTAAATTATTACCCTCATTTAGAAAATGTATACAGCATGCGATAAAGCAATCACCAGCTCCAAGTGTATCATAGCAACTATGAATGAAAGAATAACAAAAAAAATTTTTAAAAATTAAAACCTGTTCGGCCCATGGACAAATTACAATGGCACGTGAAGCACCATATTTTTGTTGTATACCAAATACAGCTTCTTCCTTATTTTGGAAACCTTTCTTCCTAAAAGTGATATACTGATGTTAGTAATAATGTGGAAATATATGCTCATTATAAGTTATCTTTTTACTTCATTGCTTTTTACAATTCATATCGTTTTGATAAATATCATTATGCTAGCAGCAAGAGAAAAGCTCGGTTTATTTTGACAAATTTCATCTATCAGTACAATTCCTAAGAGACCAAACCTCCCTCGCAAAACATTCAAGTTCCTCCTCTGAAATCAAAAAATAAAATTTCCCATTGTTTTGAGAATATGAGATAACATAAGATTGCATCCCACACTAATACTTCTAAACTGAATTACTAATACCGCCAGATACTACGCTGCGAGGCAAATTAATGCGATGAATAATGCAACATATTGTCTGACATTTGACTTCCAACATCTCTCATCCAGTAATTCTGAATTCATCGACAGATTACTAGTCCGATTTAATGAACCATCACAACTGTTCCTTTTCAAATTGTTTCTTTTAGTTGTGTCAATAAAAGATACCCTGAACATTACGTAGATTGTGTTAAAGATAGAAATATACCGTGCAAAATCTTTCGACACAAAGACGACATCGACAATCGGTATAGCATTTTCAAGTGTTTCAAAATCTCGAACTTTCTCACATTCCAGTGATATTGTTGGCCTTTTATTTTGTCTCGATAGAAGAACATGTTTTATTATTATAAGAAGATTTTCAAAATTTCTTCCTGGAAAAAAGAACGAAAGCGTGAATGGAGGCATAAAAGAAATTAATTCCATAAAAAATTCATTATTAATTTAAAATCGAAAAAATATGAACCTTCAAAATGTATCCAAGAAAAAATACTGATATTTGGAAAAGCACGTTGAAATTCCTCGCAATTTGGCTCCTGCAACTTCCCCTGCAGTAATATTATAAAGGCAATATGCATTAGATGCATGAAAGACAAAAAAAGAAGAAAATTACAACCTTCAGCTATCAACAAGTAACGTTTGATAAAAACATTATCAAATTCTTAAATTTGAACTGAATTTTAAATACGTATTTGAACAGATCCAATCTCGAGTTAATTTTCTAATTTCACATAATATATATTATCTGCTTTCCTTTTTCATATATACATGTAACATACGAGAATACCTGTAATGCATAATTGTTCTGGTACCAGTTTTTTCATTCACAATAATTGTTGATGTCGGTCAATCACCATTTAAACGACGAAGGCAGTATTCTGATGAAACACCAACTTTGGCCAGTAACCTGAAATCCTATGAAATTCTCCAAAAAAACGAATAAACATAAAGCAAGATCAGAAGTACATCTAAAACATCTAACATCATACACAATAAAATAAATACTTCACTAATTAATATGCTTACGACGTAATAATAGGGCAGTTGGCTGGAATTACAGAAAATAGTGTCGAATATGAATTAAGCTGATTCAAAACGATCATATTATTGGTAGCATTACCTCCGGCTGTCCAAATCTACAACAACAATGTCAAATCTGATAGATTCCACTTGGAAGAAAATAATAGGTTTATTTACTTATCATCTGGAAATTGCAGAGAGTAATTCATACCCAAGGAAAATTGATTACTTATTCAAATATGCATTGTTTTTATATAGGTTCATTGGTCGCATTCAGAAAGGCAGGATTATAAGGACATATGCATGGCACTTATAGGAAGATTAGGTTTCCAGGTAGGAAATTTATGGGATGAAGCAAATTTCCAATAACTGATGCGAAAATGGTTGCATCCTAATATCAGTTGCTATATTTAACAAAAAAAAGCAATACACAACTTCATTTTTTATGAGAATATCAAATAAAAATCAATGGGAGATACATCAGAACAAAATAAGGAAATTTTGGGAAAAAACACTACAAATCAAAAAGTCAGAGAGTCTCAACACACTGGTTTCTACTTCATCGTTGTCTGTTCTCAAAAGTTGATCATGCAGTAAGAACAATGAACAATGGGCATTAAAAACAAAGGTGGAACATTCAAGAATGAAATATGAGCATCATATTTAGCAAAAAAAAAACCAATAGATAATTCGAGTGAAGCAAATGAATAAATTAAGAAAGTAATAACATTACGTTCCTCTTCCGTCTAAAATGTAAGCATCAAGGACATTTTTCCTTTTACATTTTTAAATAGAAGTGAAAAAAGGAGCATCTAAAACGTTCAGACATAAAGAACTTTATCTGTTTTGTTTCCTGAAACTGATGTAAAACAGAGGATTACAAAAAAGATCTCATAGAAATTTTCTTCCGCTCATCTGGTCGATAACGCTTCTGACAACTTTGTTACTTTCTGTTTTAAGTCACCTGTAATACGATAAATTCAACCAAATTTTTGAAATATATCCCATGAGATTAAGCACATGGTCAACTTGACTTTATGATCAAACTTTTTGAGCGGAGAAGTCTCGATTAACCACAGAAATTACTTGTTGGAATGTGAAGTATAATTTACAGTCCAAAGTATATTATTCCCCATCAAATGATAATCAAGTCCTATCATGAAAAGCAAAGATTCACACAGAAATATGAAAATACTAACAGCTTTGTTCATCAATCCATTGCAAAGCATCCAGTTGACGCCTAAGAATTTGCGCGATTTGGTCTGCCGTTTCAGCTTGATCATCAATACCTACACTAGTTCTTTGTAGTTCTTTGACCTGAATAAATTTATCCAGTAAACGTTATGAGTTCCACATATAATGCAGAAATCCTAATTTATAAAAATTATGTAAATATACCTGTTCGATAATGTCACTGATGTCATCATCCGCTTGTTTTAGCTGCGCATCAATTTGTAGCTGTAATTGCAACCTAAAATAAGGCATTTTATTAGCAACTTCACGGATAATAAGCATCTTATCTAAACACCACATAATTGAGTGCAACCATAATTTATATCGCTGCAAAAGGATAGCAAAAATCAACAAAAATTCTTCAATAAAAGAAGTAAGATGATACTTCCAGGGCGAGGAAGTAGGATTAACAATTAGATTTAAATTTTAAGTAGCAAAAAATAAGTCTCATTCAGCCGTTAATATATCAAAAGCAAACTTACATAGCCTGTCGCTGCAAATCAGCATGAGTGGCTACACCCGGATCTGGCAATCCAATTGGTGTCATTTCCGTCCAATCACTAAGACCTAATGCTTTTTCCAGATCAACAACTAAAGCTTCAAGTTCAGTTTGTTGCTGAGAAATAAAATCGACGGCGTGCAAAAACCGGTCTTTCTCTTCTTCCAATTGCTTAATCTCTTCGCTTACATCAAGAACCTAAAGTAATAAATTTATGCAATCATGTTTCCATTACAAAGTAGCAAAATCAAAAAAGAAATAAAAAGTTTAACATATTTCGTGAACATGCTAAATGTTGTCAAGATGAGTTCATAAAACATAGCGGAATTGTTCGCAATTAAATATCGCATCATTTATGACAAAAAAATTAATAAATGACTCGAATGAAAAATTAAGCAAAAAGAAAACAGAAAAATGGGCTTGAATTTGAAATTAAAAAACGGGAGAACTAAATAGATCGAAATTGATACCTTTTGCTGATTTTCTCGCAAAACACGATCAAATGCATTCAATTCCAGAACTTGGGACATGAAAACACGCTGCTGTGTTTCGACGTCAAGTGTTAAACGATTTATAAGTTGCTCCAGTTGTGCAAATGTGATCGGCTTATCAGATCTGCAGCAAATCAGTTAACGACATATAAAAGTACAAAAATTGGAACTTATACATACATAACAAACGAGTACGACAAACTTTCTCATAAGAATTAAAATAAGGAGATCGAATGTTCAATTCAAAATGTTTCTGTTACTGAGAAAAACCCAGCTGTAATAATCAAGACCAAATATCAAAATCTCTTTTTTTGAAAACAAAAAATTTACTTAAAATTACTGCTGAAAGCATTTCCAAGCTTTGTGAAAAAATCACTTCTAAGTTTTCAATTTTTAAAAGCATAGCGCACAAAAATTGATCTGAGATGGATTTTTAGCTGATAACTTTGCTCTCTCCCAGCTGTTTCTTTCTTATATCTTCCTCTTCAGAAACTGAAATTCCGATTCGAAAAAATATAACTAACGTGATTGCAGTAGCAGCAGGAACAGCACTCGCCAAAGCACTTGAAGCTATTGTTGAAGCAGTAGTTGTAGCTGTTAAGATAGACGCAATTGCTGGTAAAGTAACTGCAGTTGTTTTCGACGGATGTAACAATGAAGATAATGTTGAACCGCTGGATGTCACTGTACTTGCGGTAAACATACCGGGAGTAGTTGTAGCGGACTGTGAAAAAGACGTCATAATTGGTAATGAGGCAGTATTTGTCGCCGCTGTTACCACTGTCGATGCTGTTGTTGCTGTCAACTGTCCACTAAATAAGTAATCATTGTCAATGAAAACTTGATTAATGAAATCAAGAAAAATCTAATATACTTTAAAAACAACAAAGCTTAATATTTACATAACATTTTACCTTGATAAAGAGCTTTGCAAGCACATTAAAAAAAATTAAAATATGCTAGAATGCCTGATCTTCAACTACATGCTGAGAAGCTAAGTTATTTCAAACCTTAATAAATTGAGTCCATATTTACTTTAGTGCACAAACATATATAGGTAGGATACTTACAAGGCAAATCCATTACTTGCTGCAGTGGTAATAGCAGCTGCAGTCTGCGATGCAACTCCAAATAATGGCATTGTTGAAGCGGCTGAAGTTATGCTGCAAGCAAATGATAAGTTACATTAAAATATTTCGAAAAAAAGGATATTTTAAGAAAATTAAAAGCAAGGATCGCGGACAACAGCAACGGTATATGGTAACAATATACATTACTAATATCGAAAAAAAAAAACAGTCCGATATCGATAATGAGAAGTGCTTTTACGCCATAAATCCAATTAACCTTAATTTTAAAATCAAACTCAATGATTTCACTCAAAAAAAGAAGGATGTCGCCTAAGCTACTAACTGATTTTTGATGATAAAATCAGTCGACAACCGACTGATTTTATCATTTTTTCTGAATTGTGCAGTTGGAAGTTAACCTTTAACCTGTAGGCTTGCGACTACGTACATAATTAATGTGTAAGTAGTTGCAAGCAATGGCTGCATTACCATAAATTTTATGATTAAATTGAAATTAGAAGTGCCAACTGCACTTTTAAAAAGAATGGATGAAGGTAAGAATTTTCAGTTAACTTCCTACACTTTATCAGTAAGCCCATAAATTTTAATTAATTTACGGTTTACAAACTTTAATTACTACTCCCAATAAAAGCATACTTGTCTAATGATAATAGCTACACTACGGGGTTGCTTCGAATACGAAGAGAAGAAAGTGAAGCCGATTAAAATTTTATGTTATAAAATCACCTCGCTACTGGCTGTGTTGATGGCAGTATACTCGATGTTGGTGAGAGAACTGAAAATTGAAATGTTACAGACCTCTGAAGGCGCACAAGCAAACACTCGTTACATAATACATATAATTCTAAAATCAAAAATTACCTGAAGAACCAAAAGAAAATGCAGTGATAGCAGCTGAGGTCGTTGTTGCTGCTGATCCAGGCACTGAACAAGAAATATTTATCTCGGTGAATACAAAACAAAACTTTTGGGTAGAAAAAATAAGCTGTGAAAAAAAACCAATCGTTTATAATCATTTTAAATTCTGATTTTCTGCCAACTGCACCAGTTTAGTCACATAAATTCAACATAAAATATTCCCACACTGTGGTTTAATTTGGCCTCAACTAAATAATTTCAGATATTTACAGCTTTTTAGAGTGAAGCCTACGATCATACTTTACAAAAATGTTGTTAAATGATGAAATAAAAGTGAAATCAAAATTAATAACTATCCAATAATGAAATAAACAAATTTGCAAAAAACACAAAAAGATCAGCATAACCGAATGGTGACATAAAAAATTGGTGGAACTAGAAAAAGAACTTAATAGACAGTGGATTTTATGCCAAAAACAGATAAATATTTTACCTGCAGTAACAAAAGAGAGCGTTGTGGTACTGGTTGTAATTGCTAATGACGGACCTGCTAATTTGAAAAAAATTCAAATCAAATTAATACAATCCAGTGTATCAAAAGACAGTTATATATGAAACGAAATTTATTAAAATAGACTAACAAAGATACTACGACTTTAACTGCACTTCTTTCAGTACCACATCCATATGTTACATAAGCAATGCTTGATAATCTATTAGTTAACGTTTCATTAGAAATGATGTTTCTTTTGTATTCAGAGAATATAAAGACATTTAGCCAAAAAATTACTAGTTGACAAGTGAAACTTGAATCTCCTATATCAAATATCGTATATCATGCACAAAAGGTAAAAGAAGAAAACAACCGAAATACTTTGTTTTAACCGGAGATGTCTCGATGCTGTTTCACTGGCAAAGAAAAAAACAAAATTCCCACGCAAAATATTAACATAACTTTCAATATGTATGACCATACCGTTTAATCCAGACATCGAAGTTGCAGTTGTCGCAGATGTCATGCTTGATGTAGTTTTAGTTCCGAACAATCCGGCAAATGGGGGAGCTGCCACGGAAGTAGCAGATCCAAATACGACAGCAGGTGCAGTAGTTGCTGTAGTTAATGAAGATGTAGTAGAATTAAATAAAGATGGTGCTGTATTTCCACTCACAGCGGTTGTAGTGTTAAAACCAAAAGATAATACCGGCGCTGCAGTAGTAGTGATTGCAGTAGCAGTAGATGCAGTGTTAACTACCGCAGGTAACCCAAATGTTGATTTTGCTAAAATTGCATTTCAAAGTATTCCCTCATAAAACTTACCTCTTTTCAAACACCATTTTTCGTTTCTTCCAAATCAAGAAATTTGGAAATTTAATGATCCAATTGGTAGCTAATATGAAAATTTTTCAAAAATAACCCTTCAGAATGATTCAAGATATAGTTTATCTTAACTACTCGATATTTTCATAAGTCCAATATGATTTTCATACAGTAACGATTGTACTATGACATTATTCATACAGATCACTATAACCTCTTAAAAATTTGCCATGATAATAAAATGTTGCTGATATATTTCCTATTTTATTATTGATATAGGATAAAAAATGAGCGTAATAATATCATTACTGTATTCTTTAAATGTTTATTGGAAACAAAACTCAAAAAGTCAGAATAACACACGATAAAAAGAATAAAAATATCTTAATGAGCATTAAAAAATAATCTAAGAGTTATCAAGAAAAAAGAACCTGTGGTAGGAGAACCAAACAGAAATCCAGTTGTTGGGACGGTGCTAGATGCTGCAGTAATGACTTGACCAAACAAACCGCATGAAGCTGATTTCTGGCCAAATAGGCTAGTCGGCGAAGTACCAACAGCTGAAGTAGCAGAAACAGTAGCAGTTGGTTGCAAAGCTGTGGATCCTGAAAAAAAGTGTTATTAAAAATTCGGAACCTTCGAAAAAAGACAAAAGCTGATGACGACATTTTTTGCCTATCCAGGTTAACCGGATAAAATGATCCAATTTGAAATGTTAAATTTTTATTTTATTAAAATTTGATGCAAGAAGCAGAAAATCTACCTTTTTTGAAAAGTATTCAGCAGATCATTTTAAAATTATCGTAAAGAAGCATGCAACTACGATTCGTTCTGAATCGAGGTATTAAGTTCTAGATAAAAAAGATTCTAATATATTTAAAACGAAAAAATAGAGGCTTACACATATCAAAAAAAGATTACCAAACAAAGAACCAGAAGGCTGGCTACTGGAAGTCGAGGTACCGAAAGAAAATGGAGCTATACTGGTTGTTGCAACGGTTGTTGTTGTAACTGATGATCCAAATCCTAAGCTAGTATTTGCTGCTGAAAATAATGATGCCTATTTGAGAGTGATCACATTGGGACTAGTCACTAAAAGTAACTGTAAAAATTGAAGAAAAGCATATATAATTGCTTTCTCCCTTTTTATTATGTTTTCCAAAAATTCAATGATCGAGAAACATAAACACACGTCTCAGAGAATGATGACACATAACAAACAAATTAAGTACGCTATTATAAATAATCATAAGAGAAATCACAATAACGTGTTCGTATATGTTAGCCTGGAAAAATACATAAAACTATAAAAGTAAGGGATAAGTGAGCTTTAATCAGTTACCGGTTGTTGCAGATGTAGTCCCAAATAAAAGACCTCCATTGCTTGACTGCGTATTTGTAGTAGACACTGATGTTATCGTTGTCATTGGTGATGTTAAACTGGCGAACAATGAAGATGGCTTTGCACCAAGACCTAAGATAATTTCCGAAATACAGTTCAATCAATTGAAATTTTCTTCCGTTTTTTCACAATGATCTTTATAGAATGCATAACAGACTAAAGAATTGTAGAGCTGGCACACTTTGGCTTTGTTGGGAACAAATCTACTTGAGCGTACAGATTTATATGTGTGTATAAATGAAGAGATCCTACAACTAACTAGATATCCGAACAGTTCCAGTGTTTCAATATCAAAACTATTAAGACTAATTAGTTACCGAATGTAATGTAATATGAACATAACATCGTTCTTTTCGAATACAACCTAACAATGCAAGCCAAATTTATTCAAATTTACTGGTGTCATCATCAGATGGTAAGTCTGCATATGATACGAAAAGACAAGTAGCAAATAAACAACGAATTTATATTTTCGCTAAGTTCTTCAGAAAACTCTATTCAAAAGTGCATTTTATAATAGGAAAATGAGAGAATGACTGAACAACACTGCATAAATTAATAAATCGTGCAATTAGAAATTAAATTTTACCAAGCGGTGAAGAAAAGATTGATGCAGTTGTATTTGCAGAAGCCGTTGTTGTTACTGCTGTTGCTAATGATGTTGTAGTCGTTGGAGTGCTGAATAAACTACTAGAGCTACCAGCCGGTTTGGTACCAAACGTAAATTCACCACCGGTAGTTGTCGGAGGTAAATTAGCAGATGAAGCAAATGTACTGCCAAAAATATTTCCTGTTGCTGAAACGATTTTTTTGAAACTAGCAAAATAATTAATATGGAAGATGTCCAGTCCGTCCATGAGAAACAATTTTAAGCTCTTGAAAAATTCCAGATCGGATCTATCCGTATACGGATCATTTTTTAGGAAGTCTATAATATTTGGCAAACAAGTCAGTCAAATCCATGCTTTCATTGGCTAGCAATCTCTACTAGTATCTCAATATATGTATGGAAAAATAAAATTTTTTCGT